TATCCAAGGGCGTTTCATGAATTTCATAAGACATTTTGTTCTCGTAGCCCTTCGCTTATAATATAGGTCTGCATATGTCGTAAGCTGGATATGGATGTGTTTTAGGGACATTTATCTCCTGGTAGTCCACAGTACTTAGATATAAGCAGTACAAAATTTTGAAATTTGTTGAGCAGGTGCTATTGGTTTGGGAGTTATTTTTTGTCTTTCTTCTTAAATATGTTGTTTGATGTAAAATTAGCTTGTATTCTTACCTTGTACATATTTTTGATGCAGCCCCGTTCAAGTTTGATGTTCCATCACCAGATGATATTGTTTCTAGTGGATTGTTTTCCACAAAAATGGGTTCAAAAGGTATGCTTCTATATGTTACCTAAATTTTGTAGTTGAAAGGAAAAGGAGGACCATTTATTTTCGCCGAGAATAATTAAATTTTCTCTTTTATAGCAACTGTGTTTATTAAGATGTTTGAAATTCTGGTATATTTTAATCATCACATAAAGATGATGTTATTAAGATATCTCCTAACCGCTGGAAGTGAAGTTTTCTTGAAGTTCTTTGGTTAAACGTAACCTTATTCTGCTCATGCTGCCTTTTATTTTGCAGCTACTTTTTCTGATAAAAAATCTTCAAGAGTTCCCTCAAGCATTTCGAAACCGGATATTGTCACTTCAAAATCAAGTACTAAAGATAGTTCTTCAGGTTTAATGCAAAAAGACAGATGTGGAAGTGTGGATGAGAATACTCAGTTCAATGAAGGTTCATGTAATACAGAATCGAGGGAAATGTTAAAGAGCTCAGTTCCATATATGTCAAAAAGGAGAGACAATGTATTGCATGATAGCAGTTCCTCTTCGTTAAGTCAGGGTGACCCTGAAAATCTTGTTAGTAATCTGAAAAACATTCCTTCAGCCAGTAAATTTGGAAATTCAAATAACTTGAAAGCTAAACAAGTAAATCCACAAGCTCAGTATAAGCCTGAAACATGGATGCTCGCGGAGAAAGCAGAGAAAACTCAGCTGAATCTTGCAGTTGTGAGTTATGTTTGATTGTAGTTGCAAAATCAATGGAATTCACCTTATTGGTCATTTATATTCCTAATTATGTTATTGTAGGTTGGTCATGTTGATTCTGGAAAATCAACACTCTCAGGTAGACTTTTGCATCTTTTGGGACGAATATCTCAGAAGGAAATGCATAAATATGAAAAAGAAGCCAAATTACAGGTAACCTGAAGATGGTGCGCTGTATGTGTTTGTCCATGTGCCACATTTGCATACATGCATTCTTGATTACAAGCTTTATACACACACATTAAAACTTGTTCTTGTTAGATTGATGTGTTGTTCCTAATGAAATAGGGAAAAGGGTCCTTTGCTTATGCATGGGCATTGGATGAGAGTGCTGAAGAGAGAGAAAGAGGAATCACTATGACCGTGGCTGTTGCATATTTTGATTCCAAAAAATATCATGTTGTTCTGCTTGATTCTCCTGGACATAAGGATTTTGTTCCAAACATGATATCTGGAGCAACACAAGCTGATGCTGCAATTCTTGTGATAGATGCCTCTAATGGGGCATTTGAGGCTGGTATGGATGGTATGAAGGGTCAAACAAGGGAGCATGCACAACTTATCAGAAGTTTTGGTGTTGATCAGGTCATAGTTGCAGTCAACAAAATGGACTCTGTGGGATACTCTAAGGATCGTTTTAATTTGATTAAACTGCAACTCGGAACATTTCTCCGCACTTGTGGTTTTAAAGATTCCTTTATATCATGGATTCCACTAAGTGTCATGGAAAATCAAAATCTGGTAGCAGTCCCTACTGATGTTCGGTTGTCGTCATGGTGGGTTTTCTTCATGTACTCCAATTATTTTCACTAAGATATGCAGCAAAAAATTTTTATGAGCTCAAATATCTCACAAATTGATGATTTATGATTAGAAGTGTTTGTAATGCTTTGAAATTTTTCACTGATGTAAATATCTCTAATTATAATGGTGGTTATTGAAACTCAGGTACTCTGGTCCTTACTTGCTGGATGCAATTGATTCTCTCCCGTCTCCTACTAGAGACTTCTCAAAGCCTCTACTAATGCCCATATGTGATGTCATAAAATTGTCCCCTCAAAATCAGGTGTCTGCTTGTGGAAAATTGGAGGCTGGAGCTCTTCGAAGTGGATCTAAGGTATTCAGTTATATAGCTGAAGAATGACAGGCCTAGCACAAGAATAAAGTAATTAATAAAAGGTTTCAGTTGGTCATTTCAACTTAGTTTGAGGAATAGATATTTAGTGGAGGATTTTCATGAAAGAAATAGTTTTTGCCCCCTAAAAAGAAAGAAGCTAATGGAAGAAGTCATTCACTTTGTTATCTGTGGGGGTCTTGTGGAGTTGTATTGGCAATACATGTATTGGTAGCTAGCTGGCAGCTTTCTTGGAAAATGTTAGTAAGTTCGAAAAGGTTCTTCGTATGTGCCTCAGCTTTGGACCCTCAGTCTCTTTTCTTCAGGGTGATTGTGGTTTTTTTGTAGCTTTAGCTTTTGATATGTAGAGCTTGCAGGTTTTTGATAATCAGACTAGTTTATGATATGCTTAACAATTCAATGCCTGATGTAGGTCTTAATTTTGCCGTCTGCACAAGTAGGGACAGTGCGCTCATTAGAGCAAGACTCCCGTCATTGCACAGTTGCACGAGCTGGGGACAATGTAGCCGTCAGTCTACATGGCATTGATGCAAACCATGTAATGGCTGGAGGTGTGCTATGTCATCCTGATTTCCCAGTTGCAGTTGCTGAACATTTAGAATTGAAGGTGCTTGTCTTGGATGGTGCAGCCCCTCTCCTGATTGGTTCTCAGGTGGCATCCTACTTCAACACTCCTGTACTTGTTTTTTCCACAATTTCTTTTCCCATTAAAACAAGCTCATTTTGTGGTTGGGACCATCAGTTGGAGTTTCACATACACCATGCAAACGAAGCTGCCAGAGTTGCAAAAATATTATCGATACTTGATCCAAAGACTGGCAAGGTTATTAAGAAGGCTCCTCGGTGTCTCATTGCTAAGCAGAGTGCAGTGCTTGAGGTGAATTACGATGACAATAGTCATTGCTATTGTATTCAGATTTAGTAGCTTACATGTGTGGTTTCGAGCAGAAAGCAAACTCTCGCATTATCTTTTGTGCATGCTGTCATTTCAGGTGGTTCTGCAGGCTCCTGTTTGCGTGGAAGAGTTCTCAAAAAACAGAGCTCTTGGGAGAGTGTTTTTAAGAGCTCTAGGAAGAACAGTTGCCGTGGGAATTGTGACTCGAATAATAGAGGAAGTACAATAGTCTTATTTCAAGATTATAAAATGTTACTGGGTGTCCATAACCATAAAGCCCGTAAGGCTTTTCCAGGCAAAATTTTTGCAACATTTTTAGGCCCCTTTTCTTTAGCCCTTCTCTGCAGGTAAAAGTAACCTCCACTCCATGTGCGTTGAAGACATGCACCTGGTTTACCTGTACAATACATAGTTCCGAGGTAGTATATATACTTGTGTTCATCTATTGGTCAATATGTTTCTGGACCCATTTAGAGAGTCACCACATTGGAAGTATCGTGCACACAAACACACACAAGCACCATCTTTCTTTGGGCTGCAATTTAACACCGTTTATGCGGGCGCTACTCATGCATAGGAAGAGATTTAAAAGATTTTTGTAGTTAAAATTTGGGTTAATGTTATACTATAAGTACATAATTTGGAATATATTTCCATTAAATTTGGGACTTTATACATTAACGTATTTTGAGTTATCTGATTAATCTTTACTTCATTTGGCTGTCAATAGTTTCGAATTCACACAAAATAGTATGCTACTGTCTTCAATTAAATTTTGTAGGTTATATCTTGTTATGTATCTAGTCTGTTACTATTTTTGTTTAATTTTTGAAGATTAGTCTTTGGTAAAGGGGTTAGTCTGCACAGTAAGTAGGCGTTGATTTAGATTATGTCCAGAGTTACAAGAAACAGAGTTCAATTTTCTTGGAGTGAAGCTGCAGAAATCTTTCTTATAAATTCCCTGGTCTCAGTTCTCGGTGATTCCTAATCAGACTGAAAAGGAGTTTATTCAGCATGTAAAAATTAATTTAAAGATATCCTGATCATTCAAGTTTAAAAAATAAGTAGTGAAAACAATATACCAATAAAATATAAAGTTACGTTATAATTTGACAATTATGGAGAGTCAGTTTTTATTCATGCATGCGAGACATCAGTTGTTCAAATGAACGTTTCAGTAAAGGGTAACGAAAAGTATAGGAAGATAAGAAATTGCAGCATATGAGAAATGCCGTACTTTTTGCTTGCATTACATGGAAGTATATAAGATAGATCCCTAAAATTGTTAGCCGCAGCCCCACATCCATTGGGGGAAGTGGGAACACCAAGGACAAGTGGGGTCAACAAGTTGATGACTTTTATGTATTTATGATTTTAGCTTTCCTAATCAGTGTCTTTTCAAAAGAATATGAAAATTTAATTGTATATATACGGATTAGGAAATTATCAAAAAATTGTCAGCATTAACCATTTATCTATATTTTTAAATTTGGTAATAGTAATTAATGACAAAAATAACAGAATGAAACTTCAAAAAGTCAGGGGAGACTTCAGATATCTCTAAAATCTCTTTAAAGGGGGAGGGTTTGACTTTTTTCTTCTCTTTATTAAATTACATTCATCCTTCAAGAATTACCAGATTTTTTCCCCTTAAAACATGTGGGAAGATCTTCAGAAAGGATAACCATAATGACATATGTATATACGCATATTAATAATAATTTTAATGTGGGAAAAATCCATATTTATATCCATCAATTCTGTAAAGTGATGCCTTGTAAGAAGAGGGCAGTGGGTGATCCATGGTAGAAGGTTAATTGCGTAATTTAGGTTTAAAAAAAAAGGGTTGTTTACCTTTTATATCCTTCTTTTGGAAATTGAAAACAAGGGAATATGAAGTGAATAATGTGAAGCAACAAGAGACCTCCGAAACTGACCTTCTTAATCCAATCGCACAAGAGGAGAAGCATAACTCTCTCTCTCTCTCTCTCTCTCTCTCTATAGTATTTTGTTGGTCTTTGGTCTTATCAGCACCTTTCTCTCAATTTCTACTCCACAATTTCCGTACATCGACTGAGCCAGGTTCCTGTTCTTTGTCCGTTTTGATAACTCTTCACGGTACTATCAGTCTCTTTTTTCCATCTCTTTCTTCCTCTTTGATTGTAGTTCCAGAAGCTTGAATTAGTTTTTCGTCATCCGGGTTATCGTTCCATTTGCTGGCCAATTGATTTTAGTGGAATCATCTGTTTTGATTCGCTTTTAGATTGATGTTTAAAGTGTTTTTGGCTGGATCCATTTTCTTCTTGCTGGATACCCACAATTAATTTCGTTTCTATTAGTTCATATAGAAACAGGTAATTATCTGATAATCCTAGTGATTGCCTCTCTGTTCATTTGTTGTTAGTTTCCGTTTAAAATTTGATTTCGAATACGATCAATCACTATGCGATCTGGGTTTCTTTTTCCTTTTAAAATTTTTTAATTTGCTGGATAGTTTTTCATTGGTTTAGTATAATATTGTTGTGAAAGGGAATTGGGGATGAATTGTTTGTAGCTTTTTGAGGTCAATACATTTTTATCGAAGTTTAGTTATTCTTTATTTTTGTGTGTGTGTGTGTGTGCGCGCTTCTAATTACTCTCTAACTTATTAGAAATTAGAATTAGAATGAGGAAAATTAGAAATAATACAGTTTTTAGTTTCATTATTATACATTATATAGATAAGTCGATTTATTATCACGAAAATATTAACAATTTAGTTTAAACATGAATACTGCAACTGTCAGCAGTTTTATTGAAAAAAAAAAAAAGAAAGGAGTCCCTTATTGGAACCGATGACATACGCCTGACTGTGTTGTAAGTTTTTACTTCTATGAGGCACAATGTCAAGCTAGTTGACTTGGCTACCAAAAATGGTGATTTGGCTTAAAAGAAATAGATAACTGTTTCGAAACACTGCGCTTTTGACAGAGTTCTGTTTTTTATAGATATATTTGGCAGCGTTAACTTACCGTTGAAACTTATCGTTCCTGTTGTGATCTGTTGTCTTTCTACATTGTTGGGTTGATGTGTTTGGCTAGTGTGTTTCCCTTATGTTGTTTTGCTCGCCAGAGTTTTCTTTCTTTTCCCGTTAATGTCGCTGACTTGAAATTTTTCTTCTTGGTGAATTAATGGGTTGCTAATTCTTTTGTGCATCATCTTGTTCATCTCCACTAAACTCATGCTTACTGTAATTTCCTCCTATCATGTGCAGCTATATTCGATATTCTCTTGATCTAATTCAAGAACATTTTCCATTTGGTTATGTTCTGGGAGCTTGTTTGGTGTCTGTTTGGAGTTCACAGTAGCTTGAACTACTACTGATCTGTAAATTAGAAGGGGTAGGTGCATGCCATTTGTTCCTTGGTGTTTAAGTGAAAATTATCTTTATGGCCTTGGATCCTATTTATGAAAGAGGGCTTGAACCCAACGCTTCCTACCTGGAGGATGTTCAGTTGAAAATTAATTGGGATGATGTAACTTGCCCTATATGTCTGGATTTCCCTCATAATGGAGTACTACTACTATGTTCATCCTATGAAAAAGGATGTCGTGCTTTTGTGTGCGATACTGATCACATGCACTCCAACTGTTTGGACCGTTTCAAACATGCTTATGGTATGATGTCCACCTCAACATCTGATGTGATTCTGGCAACTAACAGTCAGCCAAATGTACCAGAAGACAATGGCAGACCATCTTGTCCCTTGTGTAGAGGAGAGGTTACTGGGTGGATTGTTGTTGATAAGGCACGTTTACATCTGGATGAGAAAAAACGTTGTTGTGAGGAGGAACAATGCATGTTTAAGGGAACTTACTTGGAACTTCAGGAACATGCTAAAGTAGAGCATCCACACTCGCGTCCCTCAAAAATTGATCCTGCTCGGCAGCTAGACTGGGAAAATTTCCAACAGTCTGCTGAAATAATAGATGTTTTGAGTACTATTCATTCAGAAGTCCCACGAGGTGTCGTTTTGGGAGATTATGTGATTGAATATGGTGATGATACAGGAGATGAGTTTGAGGACTTCCCTGGTGATGAAGGCAACTGGTGGACATCCTGTATATTGTATCAGGTATTTGATAACTTCAGGAATTCTTGAAACAGAAGAAGATCAAGGGTTGGTGATGCTAGAAGGAGAAGTGGTCGCTCTAGCTCTGATGAGGGTTCAGTAGCATCTGTAGACTTCACAGATTATAGACTAGATGAGATTGATAACGAGCTTACAACCACAAGTAGACCCTCCAGAGGCAGCTCTGGTCATCGCAGGTCAGTTATGCATGTCTGTTATTGATTTCCTGATTCCAGAGTGTTTTATTTTTAAAGCTTAGACTTCTGATATTCATGGCATGTCTACTAATAAGTTATCTCTTCTCTGTTGTCTTATTTTCATATCATCTCAAATTTTGTTGTGATGTGGGTTTAAGTTTCTAAATTCAAACTTGATAAAATATGCCCTATTGAAATCTGCATAAGCAAAAAGAGGGATTCTATGAAATTGAAATTGGTAAGTCCTTAATATAGCTACTGATTATGAAGTCATTTTAGCAAACAAGTAAATATCCAATAGGGCTGAAAATGTAGATTTTAAAGTTCTGTTATTGTTCACCAAATTTATTTATTGCACTGGCGATCTGAAGCCGACAAAATGTTTTACGTATAACCAAATAACCAATGGCAGCATCTAAATATCTATGTGATTGCAAGTGATTGATCCTGGCCTGAATGATTTCCAAAGTAAGTGGAAGGATCTGGGCATGGGCATGTTATGCAGTTGAAATAGATTGAAAACATGCAATAGATTGAAAACATGCAAGAGCTTAGTTTCAATTCGGTTGGCCTTCTCAGCTCTTCGAGTTTTATACACTAATATTTGTTGGCCGTCTCATACTATTTCCTAGGTGTAACACACATTTTTCCTTCTTTTCAGTTCTCGTAGACGTCGTTCCCGCTTCTATGATAATTAGGTATGCTGAGTGCAGTACCGTAGAAGTCCTCAAAGATTTCATTCTGTTTTACTGCAGAAGTTAACTAATGTTTCTGTTTCTTACCCCCAGTATATCATGCAATGTAATAAACTCTCTTGTGATACAGTTTCTGAATAGATGGAAGTGAAGCATCATAGGTTGAAAGAAATGAGAAACGAAGTCAGATACTGTGAAATGCATGCTGGGATAATGCACCGGAAACATTCTTCCAAGCATGTAATATCAACATCTGGATTGCTCTTCGTTACCCTTGTGATTAGATGCAAATGGTTAGACTTGAGTGAACGGACCTTAGATTTACATGTGATTATTTATGCGTACAGAACTGTCCTAAAAAATGGTTTTGCTCCACTGGATCTTTACTGGCAGGGTTAGAAGAAAAATTTATTAGGTTGCCCTTTGTTTTATTTTCAACTAATTCTTCACTTAATTTCATCTTTAGTTTTCATATTATGTTTGACATTTAGAATGAGAAAATAGTGGACATGCTAATCTCACCTAAACCTAGCATTGAACAAAACTAATCTCTTTTCCTTTGCTACCATGTGGATTATTTGGAAGGAAAGAAATCCCTGAGTGTTTTTGAGAGCATATGTTTTTGATTTTATAAGTGATCATGATTTCTTTCGATGATTTGAGTAACGATGTCGACATTTTTAATAATAACTAGTTATATTGTCCCTTCCTTTCTTTTAGAGGGAAGGGGTTCAAGGGTTACAAGCCTATTAGAAGTCATATAGAAAAAAATTATAAACTTGTGGAAGTTTTTGTGTACGTGGGACACTCTATTTAGTATCAAGTTTTTATTGACTTGATCAATATATTTTCCCCTAATCTAAGAAGTGAAAAATGAATTTTCCTACGAAAAGAAGGTTTAAGAGACTTAGGATGGGAATGGTAATTTAAAAACAGGTAAAATTAAAATCAAACTGGTGCAATTTATATTAGATGCCCTTCAACTAGTAAAAAATTTGAACAAGACGTCGATGATTTTAGTCACCGAGAAGATTCATAATTTTAATAATGGAAGTAATAATTCTAAATGTTTTTAAAATTTTAGGTAAGTAAATATTTTTTTTCTTGAAAATTTTATTAGGACTTTTCTTTTTAAATATGATCCAAATAGAAAATTGCTTTATTGGTCAGGTCAATAGCATTTGTCTTTGAACTCTCAATGCCAACTTAAGAAAGTACTAAAAACTGTTAAACAAGAAAAAGTGCGGAACAACATACACATCAGACCTGCAGAACAGAGCCAAAAACTGCGACCAAGTCTTGGAAACAAAGCTATAGAAGAAAAAAATAGTAAACAAAAAGCAGGTAGGTGATATTTTCTGAATGAACAATAGAAAAGATTGCTAGTCAGTGTCTAATAGGGAACATTTTTGGGCAGATTGCGGATGACGTTACTCTTCATACCAAGTTTGGTGCGCATGGCCTCCACCCCTGATCTACTCACCTCCTTCATGACCTTCTTCCTTACCACATCTTTCCTAGATTGTACGGTAGCTAACCCCATGCTTCTGTACCTGAAAATCCAATAACATAGTCACATTATCCTAAGATAACTCAATTGAGAAGAGAGAGAGAGAGAGAGAGATACAGAGAAGTATACCAAACCTTGATGCCAATGTTAAAAGCCACATGATTCGTTGCTGATGGGCGTGGCTTCTGGCGATAGTAACAGAAAAATTCACGGGAACCAAGTGTTTTACTCAATGTTCCATTGTTGGTTCTACTGGTTATAATAAGCTCAGACCCGCCACCAAGCTCTACTATAGTTCCTGTTTCACCAGCTGCCACCAGCTGCTTTCCATCCTCATCCATGTAACTGTTCACAAAAATTATAATGACAAAAGACAGGAATATTACATGATAGAACCAGAAGGGACATTTGAATACCAAGGAAAGATCGTGAGAAAATGATGAGATATCGTATAGGATAAGAAAACCTGCTGCTGTAATCATAAAACTCCTCCAATTCTACTTCTTCATCATCCCCACCATCGCCATAATGGACTTTGCAATGACTTTTTGCTGCCATGTGCTTCCTAACAGCTTCCAAGCTGTTGAAGGGCTGACATCGATCATTGCAATATAAACACATAAAATCCCTCATGACCTGGATGGAAGAACAAATAGCATTAATATGAAATCAAATACTGGCATTTTAAAAAAACAGAATAAGAACCAGAAGACAACAAATCTATCCAAAAATCATGTCACTCAATACCTTAAGGCCAAGATATGTGAGCAAACCTTCTGGATCCTTCAAGTACTCGACATCTGGAATGAAGAAACCATGTTGCTTGTGCATATGAACCATGCAGCTTTCTATGCTATCATGCTCTAGATCACACATAAAACAGCAAGATGGATCCAAGTCTACGTCAGAATTGACATCATTCTCATCCATATCGTCGTCAGAAACAAGCTCATTTACATGCAAACTGGTCAAAGAGTTTGTGGCTAAATCAAGCGACATTTCCTCTGGATCAACCTCTTCCCACTCATCTTCACTTTCTTCATTGTCTTCCTCCCTCCATGGGGGCCTCTTATTTTCAGCTCGGGGGACTAGTGGCTTTATTATTGCCTTATCCTGTTCTTCATTACTCGTTCCTTGAGAAGCGCGTATAATATGACTTCTTGATTTAAGATGCTGCTCATGAGCCTTGGCACTTCTATATCCCTTACCGCAAGTACCACAACTGTAGAGCATGGGGGTCTCATTTGATTTACCTTTTTCCTGAGCAATTGCAGACTGTCTTGCCAGAAACAGTGCTTCTGTCACTCCAGGAACCCCAGCTACCTATTTTAAAAGTTCAAGAACACTATCAGAAATTTATTCAAATTTATGATATACCAAACAATCCCAAGAAGATTCACTTTCAGTTACCCACAAGAAGCTCTTAAAACTACTACTCTGCTAAAGCTACAAAGTAAATGGTGTACCGCCTAGCTACATCATACATATTTACCATTCATGAATATGCATGCAACTATGGTATTGTTCCATGAGTTAGCTGAAGTTCAATGTATTCTGCATTTCCAATTCAGTAGGCACATGTACCATGAATTATTTTTTTCTCTTTGTCCATGTTGTCAACATTAAAAGGGCTCAATCATTTACCACGTAGAAATCCCTCTCCTAAAGTTCTTCCAGAAGCCCACAATAAGTTAAAATTCACTCTCCATATTGAACATAAAAGGAAACTCTCAACATATGTATGGCCTTCAATATCAACCCCCTTAGAACAGCAATAGGAAATCGAAACTCTGAAAATAACTAGAAGCTAATGTTCAGTTCAAAACTAGGTTCACAATTTTGCAATTGAAGAAAGTCCAACTAAACGAATTGGTAAAGCAATCGCAAACTTTCTATTTATCAAGTACGTTGCAACATAGCGACTTGCAGCTCAACAACCCAAAATTTTTCCATCAATTCCAGATCCCTTCCCCCCAACCAAATATACAAACCCCAATCAAGCTAAAGAAATGAAAACAAACAGGTAGTGCTATTGTTCAAATCAAAGCTAGAATCATAATTTTGCAATTGAAGAAAATCCAACTAAATGAATTGGCAAAGCTAATTAATCAAACATGCAAACTTTCTATTTACAAAGTACGCTGCAATGTAGCGACTTGCAGCTCAAGAACCCAAGATTTCCCATCAATTCCTAATCTGTTTTCCTCCACCAACCAATATACAAACGCGAATCATAATCAAAAAATAAATCAAACAGATGATGAAAAATCATGAACACCATATACGAAAAGAAAATGAAACAAGACCTATTTCATGAAAACGAGTAAGATACCTTTCGCTTGAGATTGTAGCGGTGCCAATCGGACTTGTAATGGAGCTTTTGCTCCCCATCGTCCTTGAACTCTTTGTTACAGGCGTTGCACGTTAAGCCCGGCATTTCTTTCTTTTTTCTTTTCGTTTCTCCGGATTACCGATTTAATTATGTGAATTAATAACTGCCAGATAGAAAGAAAGTTATTGGGCCTGACTGATATTTGCACCGAAAGAGGAGGACGACACAGAAAACTTATCAGGCTTCTAGGGTTTATGCCAAAGATTTATAATGGCTCACAACCTTACCACAAATATTATACGAAAATGCCATTGAGGGATTGTACTGGGGCAGAGCTCGGGCGGATAATATAGGATGACGGCTGGTAGGTCGGGGACACGGTGAATGACGCATGCCACTACGCTTGCTCTTGGCTCCGGTCAATCATAATTTACTTTTCAATTGACCGACCCGAAATGTTTGGTTAGGCCTGTTAACCCGTTAGGGTTCGGTCTACCCACATGCCGAATGTTAGATTTTCACGTGGGCTTTAAAATGGACGGTTTTGTTAAGTTTAAATCTTATTTGTGTTTATGAAAAGTAAATTAAAACCCATGCCAAACTTAAAACGAATTTAAATTCTTTTAATTTTTTAATATTGTATTTGATTTGTGGGTTATTCCAACTCAAATTTGACTCAATTATTTTATTATATTAACATAACTATATTTATTTTTATATCAAATAAAATAAAAGTATATTTAATAATATATTTTAATTATATTTATCAATATAAATATAATTATGTATATAAATATAATATGTAATATTTGTTACTATAAATATTAATATACTTATAGTAATAAAAAATTAAAAACATAAATATAGTTACATATATAGTTGGTTGTGTTCAATCATATTTTAAAAGATTAAATATATTATAACTCATCATTCTTTTCATTCAAACTAAACTCACAGTTAAATAAAAATATCGTATTAAATCAAGTCTAAATTTTTCGTATTAAGTAGATTTGAGTATAAAATATTATTTCTAATAACATCACTTTTAATTAATGAGGTACTTTGTAGGTATTGAAAATGAAAGTTCTAGGTGGTGTTTATAGACTAATATTGAAATTGCAAAAAAAAAAAAAAAATACTAATAGATAGGTAAACCCATTAGTATTGGTGTTTGATTATTTTTGAACAAAAGATTTTTTATACATAAGTAAAAAGTATAATGGATATTTAGACACTCATAAGTAATGAATTGTAATTTACGTAAGGCTAATATTAATTTGGTATATGTACATTTTTTATAATATTTAAATTGGTCCATGAATTTTTTTATTATTTTAATCTCAGTGCTTTTAAAAAAATTTATTTATTTTTTTTGTTAATGGTATTAATAAAATTGTCACATGGATTTATGTCGGCCACATGTTACATTATGAGTAGTTCATTATCCATGCTAAATGTCACATGTATGATGATATAATATTTAATGTGTATTTTCTAATGTCTACAACATAAATTATTCTAATTAAAAAGTTAATCCTATTAAAAAAAAACCTAATTAATCCTATAATTTTAAACCTAAAACCTAAAACCTAAAATTCTCAAATTCACTATTTCTTCCTCTTTGCACTCTCATTGTAGTAGTGTTTGCGCTCTCTTCCTAGTGGCTTTATTCATCGGGCTCCTCTAAAATATATGTTGAAATGAGAGAAAATATCTCTTCATTCTTTGTTATTATTCTTTTTATTGATGATATATTTGTATGTAACTGTTTTAGTTTAAGATGATCTTTTTTGAGTATTTAAATTAAAATCTATTTAATTTTTTCATAGTACTTAAATTGTTGAAAAATTTATTTTTCTAACTTTTTTATATCTCATTAATGATTGCAATATTTATCTTTTTCCTTTTGTGATAAAAAAATTATGTCATTATTGATTATTATGAATTATAATGACGACTAAATAATATTTTAAAAAATTATTGTAAAAAGATCAAAAGCTCTTCATGCTCAAGAACTACATTGATGATCGTCAATTTTAATTCGCACAACATCCGATAAAAAATAAAAAAATAAATATATGACTTGACAAACATGAGTTTCATTGCAAATTTCTATAGGAGCATTTGTATTTCTTTGTCGCACTTCTTCTAGTGTCTTTTTTTTTTTGTAAACGATAACATCTATTTTAAAAATAATCCACGAGAATTACTATAGTGCAAGCATGAGGAGGAAGAAATAGTAAACTTGAGAATTTTAGATTTTAGGGTTAAAATCAATGATTGATTTGATTTTTTTTTTTCTTATACTAATTTTTCAAATTGAACTGATTTATTTTTATCGGAACTAAAAATTTCACGTTAGATATTATGTTATTTAATATATGATATTTTAGGATATGTTATGTAATTAATTTAATAAAATATTAACATTGTTAACTATTAAAAATTAAAATATAAATTTCTTAAACGCGTATGATACAAATAAAAAAAAATATAAATACAAAAATGGTAAAAAAAAAAAAATTAATATATATATATATTTTTGGTAACTGACTCACTTTAAGAATTTGTTAATTATATATAGCTTTTACCAAAACCTAAAATGATATATATTTTTAAATCTTACCATAAAGCAGCCATCTTAAGGGACTTGGTGGCGTCAGAAAGTTTTTCAATAATTGATAGCTCGTTGCAACAACTTTTCATCCATAATAAAAAACAATGCTTTCAATATTCAACTCTTTTTTTATAGTCTAAATAGTTAAAATAATTAGTATAATTCAATTTTTTATTTTTTATTTTTAAAAATAAACCATCAACATCATATGCTAAATAACAAAATTCTTAATATTTTTTACATGTTAAAATAAGATATAAAATCTCCAGCTAACCCTAAAAAAAGAAAATATAAGTAAGTAGTGGTTTTCAACGGTAACTTCTCATTTTCATTTTTATAGGTTTTTATTTTTTAGCCAATCAATTCACGACACGTCATTAATATTCGCCACATGTATAAGTTCTAAATCCGCAACCCTTTTAGCCATCTCCCTTCATTCTTCTGGGAAAATAAGAAATAAATCATAAGAACTCTCAAGATAAATTAATAAACAAATATAAGACGAACATCTGGCGTTTTTAACCATAACCTCCCGGCAACGAACTCCCCCTCCTCTCCCTGTCTCTGTCTCTCCCGTGCGCGTAAGATCGAGCATGGCTTCAAACTACGGTTCCGGCCGCGCCAGATCGGGCGGCAAGATTGTCCGACCCAGGCGAGCCGCGACCCCGAGAACACCATATGAAAGACCCATATTGGACAATCCGGGTCATCAAAACCCTAATTGGATCTCCCGCCTCATTTACTCTCCAACTCGCATGATCGCCACCGGGGCCGGAAAAATCCTCTCCTCTGTCTTCTTCTCCGACTCTTCTTCATCCTCTTCTTCTTCAGGCATGCGTTTTTTTTTTCTTAGTTTCATTATCTCTTGCACGCTGTGTGTATAAATCGTTATGTTAGGTATAGGGATTTTAGTTACGGATTCTGTTTTAGGAAGACTGCCTTCGTTTTGTTTTTTTACATCAGTCCTAAGTTCATAACCTTGTGAGGAGATCTGTACTTTGTTTTGTCATGCAACACTAGTTCCTGTACTTGATAATAACAGGTGCTACTTGTTTTTGCTTAAAATTCTGTCTAACAGTTGAGCTTCTTGTTCAGTTGCATTGAACTTTTATATATTTGGAAACAAAATTTAGTGAATCATATTAATATTCAATTGGCAGAGAGTTAAGCATCTCAACTTCTAGTGTAAGCGGTAGCACCTTATTTTCTGGTTGGACTACTGTGCCTTTGCAGTGATGCTAAATGTCGAAATTTTTAGTTTTTGATCTAATAGACTTCTTAAACTTACTGCTGTTTATTCCAACTGAGATTTATAACTGTCGTAGTTGTGCCAGTTAACCACAGAGAAAAGATTGCTCCGGTTGGGAGCCTTCTGTCTTCTTTTCCTAACAGGATTCCCTTTTGTTTCCAATATTTGCAGATGATCTTGATGATAGCAACAATGAGAATGATATTTCTTCTCCAGGGGATGAAGCAGTGCAGAAGGTAATGAATCCACTCTGTATTTCTTTCTGTAATTTTAGATGCATGGGCTGTGTTTTGAACTAGGTGCTCTTATTCCCCTACTTAGGTAAGCAGATTGGGTTCTATCTGCAATTTTAGCAGTTCTAAATAATCTGCACAGAATTGTGTTTAAATTCATTTGTATGATTCACAGTTAGTTATGCCAGCATGTATAGTTGCATTTTACTTGGTTTCTTGAGGAACATGTCTCAAATCTATAGTTAAAATGCCATGCTATTAATACTTTCATGATAAATGGTAAGGAACAAGGGCATATTATTGAAGCAAAATTCAAAGAACTCTACATATCATGAATCATATCCATGCTAGCCTGGTTATGATAATAGATGTTGCCATCTAGACACATTTTCAGTTCTTTATTCATGGTACATGATATTAGATAAGCTTGTAAATTTGTATGAATTATTAGCCATATTCAAACTTTTTACACTCTTTTAACAGTTTAACATATCAAAGACATAAGATTTTTTACTCACGTACAGACAGTATTACTCTGATTCCACGACATCGGTATATCTACCGAGTGAGTATTCTTATAGATTAACAACAGACGTAAGTTTCCTTTCTCATGTAGGAATAATATTACTTCGATTCCATGGGCACCAGTATCTCTACTAAGTGATTATTCTTATAGATTAAAAACAATGCGGAAGTTTATATCAGGAATATGTAAACATTCGTATACTTCCACAGGAGAATTGCACACGTGTATATGGATTATATCAAATTTAACTATTTATCCATTTAAAATATTACAACAAAATTAGTTGAATCATGAATTGATGATTAAATTTAATTTTTCACTTATAATTTTATATGTTTTATATATTTATATTTAATTTAAAATAATAATAGAAGACAATAATGTTCAGAGGTGAGCACTCTTAAGATGCCTCAGCCTATATACCTAATCAGAGGATGGCATTCTTATCTCTGTGCTTTTGCTACATGAATTGCTCTCTCCACAGCTCACTCCTGTATAAGGTCTCTTAGGTTCCGAAAATAGAACTTGTCATGGTATGGGATTTTTATCTGTATGTTCGAATTCTAAATTGTCTTAAATATGCTAGTGAATTTACTGAACATGTTAGAAAGAGTGGAATTAAGCTCAGCATTTTGAATTTTTAAGCAAACTAATTACTGAAGTCTAATTAATAAATGGTTGAAATGGACTACGAACTGGATGTAGTGGTTCTCAATCGCTTACCTTTGTGCCCATTTCATCTGACTAAAGTTTGTTTTTCTGTTGGAGGGAACCTTCATTCCTCGGTATTGATGGTCTGTCTTGTGATATAATCATATTTCTGTTTTTGTTTCTTCAACCGTGTGGATTTTATATTTCCTCTAATCAAATTTGAATAACTGGAGCTTGGTATTCATTGTTCACTATTTATCATTTGGGTATGATTATGATTATATCATCTTTCTGTTTTTGTTTCCTCTAATATCTCTTGACTATGATTTTTCTTTTATTTATTTATGCATCTTTTAGAATGTGGCATCAGAAATGGTCAGATGTTTCATAAATCAAACCCCACAAATTGCATGGAAGAGTGAAACTATGCGTGTTATTGAACAGCTTCTCATGAAGGAGACCTTCACAAGGTAATTTGAGGATTTCCTAGCTTCTTAATATTTAACAAAGCATTCTCATTTTACTTGCTGGTCAAATTTTCATTTCATCTTCCATGTATTTGTTTGATAATTGGCTTATGGGTTGACTTTAAGATCTTAGTGGTATTTTCATGTTTGACCAGGGAAGAATGTGATAGACTAACAAATATTGTTAAGTCAAGAGTTATAGATCTTCCCATCACTGCTGACACTGAGGATATGAGACCAAGTAAGTTACCCAACTGTACTGTTAGCAGGGCTATGGCCTTTCATTCAGAAACTGTTGCAAGCCCAAGGAATGACAAAAATCCCTATTTGTCAAATATTACTTATGTTTCAGATGTTGCCATGTCTGATAT